ACACACACACTGACAGACATACTCACATGCACACACACACTGACAGACACACATACTCACACACACACACACACTGACAGACATACTCACATGCACACACACACTGACAGACACACATACTCACACACACACTGACAGACACACATACTCACACACACACTGACAGACACACATACTCACATGTACACACACACACACAGAAATTAATAATCTTAATTAAATTTAAATTTCCCACCCAGCCTCCCTACCTGGAGAGCTGGCGTGGGTCTCTCATTGGTGGTCCAGTGGGGCTGCTGGGAGGCGTGCGGCTGAATTGGAATCCGAGGTGGAGAGGGAGCTCTGATCTCTCTGATCTGCTCCCTCGCAGGCTGCTGACTGATGCCGCGGGAGCCGGAATATGACGTCATCAGTAAGCAGCCTGCGAGGGAGCACATCAGAGAGATCAGAGCTCCCTCGGCATCCAGTTCAGCCGCACGCCGCGCCGGGGATCCAGGAGGTGACCTGGCAGGAGGGAGCACTTCCCTCCTGCCGGTCACTGGAATTTTGCGCCCCCAGAGCCGGTGCGCCCTAAGGCGGCCGCCTGTGCCGCCTTATGGACGCGCCGGCCCTGGCTGCAGGGGCATGTTCTATACACCAAAACTGCTTCATTAAGCTAAAGTTGTTCAGGTGACTATAGTGTCCCTTTAAAGTAGAAGTGCAAAGATACAAGTGGTGTAACACATGGAACGATAAAACAAAAAATAAAACTGTCTTTCCGTACATAACGTAATCCTTTTATATCCGCACAATGAGAATATCCGTCTAATATTGAAAACAAGAAATCTTTATATATTACTCCTGATTAAATTTTGTTTAATAAAATCTGGAAAATCATGTCCGACGAGACTTGGCAAGGCAGACACCGACACCAGATATATTTTACAAACAGCATAAAACTGTTGAGTGATGACTCTGTGTATTTAATTTATAATAAAGGTTAATAAAATAACCGCAAGTCCTAGATCCTGCAGGCATGGTAAGACAAGTCTTAATAAATAATTCTCCCAGCATTTCCTCAGAATTTTCTTATCTTCTACAGAAATAGAAGCTCATCTGTAAAGATCCATTTACATCTCAAATGTTTATCAGGATTAAAACAGCACCCATACGGCAGAGATAAAATTATTTTTTTTAGTCATTTCGTGCAATTTCGTAAAAAGTTAACACGGTTCTGACTGCTTCACACTAGTGATGTCCCGAACGGTTCGCCGAATGGTTCGCGAACGGTTCGCCGCAGACTCATCATTGAGTAAACTCTGACCCTGTACCTCACAGTCAGCAGACACATTCCAGCCAATCAGCAGCAGACCCTCCCTCCCTCCCAGACCCTCCCACCTCCTGGACAGCTCACTAAGAATGCAGCTTCACAATGAATGTAAAATGGATGCTGTCCAGGAGGTGGGAGGGTCTGCTGCTGATTGGCTGGAATGTGTCTGCTGACTGTGAGGTACAGGGTCAAAGTTTACTCAATGATGAGTCCTCGGCGAACCGTTCGGCGAACCATTCGGGACATCACTACTTCACACCCATAAATGTTGCCATTTTATTTTTGCAATTTACATTTTTTATTTTTCAAGTTATTTACGAAAAAGGGTATTTTAATAATGAGTAAATAGATCCTGTCCGTATTTATTGTGTTTAACCTAGTGGGTACTACTGTATCTACTCTGTGATTTCCCTCAGGATATGTTGAAGACTACGAAACCCCCCCCCAAAAAAAAACAACAAGAAGGGGTTCACTCAATAGCATTCAAATATTTAAGCCAGTCTAATAGTAGAGACTTATATTTATTTAGTTTGGTTGCTTATTATTGTCAAATAGATTATATGTCCTACTTATTATGTATATCTGAAATTGTGTTTTAGCTCTGCCTGGGTGAGTAATAGAGACTCATTTAACCCCTCAAGACATGTATGCCATGTGACAACTTCCTTTCACTCCAGAAGCCTGGTCCCCAAGGCGTTAAGCCGAAGTTTAAGAGTTATTATTGATTTTTATTAATTTTTACTGAGTTATATCCTAATAGTAACTAGAAAATGGGTTTAATTCCTCGCATCTTATTCTGAATGTATACATCATATGTCTACTAAGCTTATATCATTCTTATGTTTGTATGTGGATTTTTCAGCAGTTAGCTACTTTTAAGCTTAGTTTCCCAATTTTGGTCTGGTTCCACATGATAAGCTCATAATCTGTAGTCAAAGACATTAATGCTTTAATTGTGTCTATTGAGGGTAAGCTTGTGGTCTTCCAGTTTCTAGCTATGAGAATTGACACTATAGATCGTAATAAAAATATCAGTTTCCACATAGGTTTGGTGATGTTGTCCGGAAAAACTTTGAGAAGTATCATTTTCGGTGTGTGATCCAACTTATAAGATGTCACCTCTTGAATCATTGTTTCAACCTCTCTCCATAAGCTGTTAACTCTTTCACATGTCCACCATATATGTAACATAGGTGGCATCTCCAGCATGTGTCTTGTATTTCAGGGTAAATTGCATGAAGGCGAGTGGGTACCATATACCATCTGTATTGAATTTTTCGTGATATTTCAAAGTGGGCTGTACATGATGACATTCCCATATGTGCCGTAAAAAGTTTGTTCCATTCATCTTCTGATATAGTTTCTTGAATATCAGTTTGCCAATTTATCATAAATGTTGGTGTTGCTGTTTCTCTTGGGTTAGTTAGAATGTTATAACAGAGCGATAATACTTTCCTAGGTAGGGTGAGTGCTATACACATCTCTTCAAATTTCGTAACTATCTTTCGAATTATTCGGTGTCTTACATATAAATTGTTGTTAGACATGCAAATTTAAATTGTGGGAAGAGTACAAATTCCGTTTGGAGGGCCAAGAAGGACTTTAACCCCTCTATCGTGTAAAGCTTAGAAATATGTGTAATTCCTTTTCTGTGTCATTGTAAATAAGAAAATGTTTCATTACAACTGTACAAACTTTTTATAGGGGTTGCCAGTGACCATGGGTGCCCCGAACATAGGCTTTCTCTGTTACTGTCCCAGATTTTAAATAAAAGTCTTGTCGAGTGTAATGTGTCGGGGGTTACTTTCCGTTTCTGTTGAAGAAGCCATGTTAGAGAGTAAAGGTCATGGGTTCCGCAGCAATATTCTTCTATTGCCACCCATTGCGGAGTATATCTCTGTGGATTAATAGAAGCCATGTTAGTTAAAATTGCAGTGTAGTAATAGATTTTCAGGTTCGAAAACCCCTTACCCCCACTTTTCACTTGTCTCATTATTAGTCCTTTTGGGACTCGGGGATGTTTCCCTCCCCAGCTAAAACGTAATAATATCGTTAGTAAGGATGTGATAAATGTTTGTGGGACCTTAGTCTGTAAAGCTCTGAATAGGTAAAGTATTTTTGGTAAAATTTGCATCTTAATTGCCGATATTTTACCTACCCACGATAATAGCACACTTCCCCAAGATTTCAGTTGGCTTTCTGTATCCTTAAATAATTTTGTATAGTTAGCTAAAAATAAGTCTTTTTCCTTTTTTATAAAACTAATTCCCAGATACAGGAGATAATCTTCCCTCCAATCGTAATGATAGTCTAATGTAAGTCTATCTTCTTGAAATTTAGGAATATTAAGGCACATTGCTTGCGATTTGCTTGTATTAAGCTTGTAGTACGAATTTTGACTATATCAAAGTAGTTATTTCTTTAGGTTTGGTAAAGAGATGTGTGGCTGAGTGATCGTTAATAAGATATCATCTGCATAAACGTTAAGTTTGTATTCGCTCTGACTTTTTGAACTCCCTGTATATCTTTATTCTGCCGTATGGCTGTAAGTAAAGGCTCTAAAGCAAAAACATAGAGCATCGGCAATAAGGGACACCCCTGACGTGTTCCATTAGTAATATTAATATTAGGGAATTTGTATGCGTTCAAGGTTTCGTGTAGGAAGTTCCAATTTAAGCGATCAAAAGCTTTTTCAGCATCTAAACATAATATGATACTTTCCTGCTTAGATGATTTTACGAAATTATAAATGTTGCCATTTTATATAAGCAGAACTAAGTGGTTCCCTTGTTCCCGTAGATTAAAGAGACAATCCACTGCCCAAATGAAAAAATAAAAATCACTGTTTAGTATGTATAATGCACATTAAAACTAATACATTTAATTATGTATTTTTTTTCCATTGGAGTTATACCTTAAAACAGCTTGCAAAAGCGGCAGAACTCTTGTCTGCAGCCTTTGCAATCCCTCCCCTTCTAACCCTGCCCAGACTTTCTGTGTCTGTCCAATCACAGACTTCCCAATGCAGCTCAATGAGAAGTCTTTACAAGTCAGGTGCTACGGGCAATTGCTGCCTCATGGGTTTATCTCCATTAAGCTAAACAAACCAGGAAGTAACAGGACTGATGATCTGATTGACAGCCGGCACTTTTTGTAAAATGGAAAAGAGGACACATTCTTCACACATAATGCATTTAGTAAGCTCAAGTACTTTAGTGTTCTTTTTTTGTGTTTTTTTTTTTTTAATGCTTTTTCATTAAGGTCACCCTTACATACTATATTGTTGATTTTTAAGGATAGAGATATTTGTGCATGTCATTATGTTTATATCCACATTGCTGGGACCATATAAACACTGCCCTGCTCTCTGGGATCTATTGTAGTAACTGTCTGCCTCCATTTCCCCAAGTGTTTGTCCACTTTGGGCTGGGATTATGTGTGACTAGGTTTGCTGTTAGGAGTTATGGAACTGTCTGTTGAGTATGTCTAACACCTCTTGTGATTTCCCAGACATCTCTTATGTCTAAGTCACCCTGTGCCCTTTATAGGTACAGAGTGTGATGGATTTGGCTGTGAAGCCTGTACA